TCCAGGCTTTTTAATATTAGCATAGAATACAAGAGCTGGGAGGTTATTTGAACCTCTCAGATACTTAAACTTCAGCTGGAGTATTATGGTCAGGACTGGGTGACACTTTTAGGAAGGATGTGAACATGTTGGAGAGCATGCTGAAGAGGTTTTGGAGAATGGTTTCAAGGGTGAGAAATGAGTAAATAAAGATGGGTCGGAGAAGTAGAAACTGTGCTTTTTTTTTTTGAGAAGGGTGGCAAAAGAGTTGATAAAGTTTTTAAAAAATCATGTGGGCTGAATATAGTAGACAAGAAGAACCAAGCAAAAGATTGAGATGGCTTGTATTTAAACTTATTTGCAAAAGAAATAAATGCATTGTTAGGTAAAAATGTTTTTACTCTGTGAATGATTTGTATCTACAATCCACTGCCTTGAAGTGTGATAGAGGCAGGATCCATTGGTTCAAAAGTTTTGGATGATTATTTCTATTTAAATGTTAATTAAAGTTGGGAAAATGGCACTAAATCTTTAAACCTTCTGCACCATAACAATTTTGTTCCCTGACACTTAGCCAATTGTATATCCAATTTGTTACATTCCCCTGAATTTCATGTGCTTTCTTTTACCCCAGTCTGTCATGTGAGACCTTGTCAAAAGCAGTGCTAAAATCTATGTAGATCACACTAACTGCATCCTCCTGGCTGCATCCTCAAAGATCCAATCAGGTCAGGCATAACCTTCACTGAAAAACTGTGTTGACTGTACTTAGTTAATCCATGACTTTCTAGGTGACTGTTCATCCTGTCTGTCCAAATTGATTCCAATAATGTTCTAGAATAATTTTGTTGCTCTACTGTAAAACGAAAGTTTTAGAAATTCTTCAATCCTCTGCTACCTCTACACCCAGGTGAGAATTTGAGAGATGATGGTCACAGTATTCTCCATTTCTTCCCTGCATAAGTACACATCATCCACCCCTCGTGACTTATCCAATTTCAAGGAATGCTAATTCTCAACACTTCGTCTCTCGATACTTATGCAATATTTCACACCACCTCTAATATCTCTGCATCACTCCCTCCACGTACGTGATGACATATAGAAATAATTATTAATGCTTTCATATCAACTGCCTCGACACAACAGGGTATTTTGTGTCTTTTATGGGTTTATACACTTTCCTCATTTGGTAATTAGTCAATGGGGAGTTGAAATGAATAGGTAAAATCAGCTGTGGGGGGTGGTTTTGATAAATAGCCTGGTGATAATCACTCAGGCCCATGAAACTGGATTCTTGGAGAAGAACCAGAGGGTTGTTGGAAAGCAATATCCAAGTACAAATCATTGTTTCCAGGAGAGTAGAAAATTGGAGAACAGAAATTTCCTCTAATAATATGTACAAGCATTAAAGGCCAGTTGGAGATAGGAAAATGACAATTAGAGACCAGCCATAACCTAATATACACTCTCTTGTGTCCAGTTCAGGCTGGCAAAAATAATCCTACTGATTTGAAAATCCTTGTTTCCCCATATGCAAAAATAAATCTGACCTTGTATGATTGCATCTGTTTGCAATTACAAAGCTTAGAAATTCAGGCACAAAACGTGTTTTATAAAACTCATTTCAATTTCAATTTTCAATTTCAATTTCAATTCTAGTTGTATGGTGCTTCTCATGGGTAATTAGGGATCCCTTTCTTTCAACTGTTGGACTAAGTACACAACTCTTAGCACATTTTCATTTGTGTAACTCCTTTAAACATAAAGGTTTGAAGTGCTTATTTTAGGATATTGTTAAACAAAATGTGATACCTATCCACATAAGAGATACAAGACAGTTTATGTGGTCAGACGATCAAGTTTAAGGGAAGGAGGAGAGGGGAATTTCAAACCTTACAGACTAGGCAACTGGAGCATTAGGTACCACTAATGGTGCAATGAACATGGGGCAGGTACAAGAAGCCAGAACTGTAGGAATGCCAACATCTTGGAGTGTGGAAGGTTACAGAGATAGGGGGTGTTGAAGCGATTTTAAAACAAGAATAAGTACTTTACAAAAAGGTATTTTTTGAACCAGAAGCCAACATACCAACAAATCAGCAATGTTCTACATCCAACTAGGGATCAGGCACATCTGGATCTGGAAATGTGTAAAAGGAGGGTTTAATAAGTGATCGCAAAGTAAAAGATCCTCCAGGGAAATGATCAAATGATCAAGGGGCAAAAGGAGGAGAGGTAATAAATATAATAATGATCAGTAGAGAGAAAATTTCAAGGAGACTATGGGGGTGGGGGGAGCTGAAAATTAAGTCCCTGGACCTTATGGGATGCACCTGAAGATACTGAAGTAAGTAGCTACAGAGTTATTGCACTGATTAGTAATCTTCCAGGAATCCTTAAATTGGATTGGAAAACTGCCAATGTAACACCTTTTATTTTGAAAAGTTAAGGAATCATAAAATAGGTAGCTTCGGCTACTTAATTCCCCAATAAAAGATAAATCTTTTTAAATGGACTCTAACATTTTAACTTAATAGCAGAACCAATGTGGCTGAGTAAAGGGGAAATCATGTATGACAAATTTATTGGAATTCTTTGAGGTAATGAGCAGGATAAAGAGGAACAGTGAATTTTAATATTCAGAACACATTTGATAAGGTACCACATAAGACTACTTTGGATAAAACTCCATGATGTTGCGGCCAGTATATTAGTGTGAATATTGATTATCTAATTCATTGAAGACAGTTGGGATAGAATCATAAAATCCCTATAGAGTCGAAGCAGGCCATTGGGCCCATTGAGACCAACCAGCAGTCTATCCAAACTCCTCCTCCCATTCTATCCCTGTCGCCCTACATTTTCCATAGCTAATACACCTAACCTGCGTATTTTTAAACTGTGGGAGGAAACCCATGCAGACTAGTGAGAATGTGCAAACTCCACACAGACGGTCACCTGAGGCTGGAATTGAGCCTGGGTCCCTGGCAGCACTGTGGCTTAGTTGGTTAAGGTACCTGTCTACAGTAAACAAATCCTAATGGTGCCTTTATACTTTAAAGATCCTTGCTGGAGTTCTGTAAAAGCAACCCATTAATCCATTCCATTTAGTCCTGCAATTCCTTTTCTGTTCTATCCAAAATATGAAGATGTGCATTAGCTGCAGGAACTGCTATGATTTGAATTCAAGGATCATCTATTTCCAAGGAAGATGCTTTAAGTTTTGAGTGTTGTAAAGTGGAAACTTTAGATTGTGCTACCTATAGTTACTTTTCTGTGCTACAGAACTACCAATTAAGTGGCGATTTACTGGCCTACATACCAGTTCTCATATCTCTGTATTCTTTAAATGGAATGATACTCCATCGGTTTCTGCTACCACCTTATTGGAAATACTTTTAACACATTTAAAGAAAAACTCCAACGTGCATCATTGTATCATGGTACATGGCAACAATAAATCAACCTCAAACTCAGTTACTTTCAGTACTAGTAATAGAAATTTGAGTTCTGCATGTCATATAATCATTATCCTAATATTAAAATGCAAAAAAAAAAATTGCATATGGTAATAATTGGCTAAGACTGGTACTTATGACCACTTGTATTTGCCCTGAGAAGCATCATCAAGGCCATTTTACCAAACCTCTGTAGTCCCATAGTTCTGTTAGGTAGGGAGTTTCTGGATTTAGATGTAGTGACCATGAAGGACCAACATGTGTCAAAGTCATGATGGTGGATGACTGGGAAGTGTTGATTTTCTAAGCATTCACTGCTCTTGTCCTTCTAAGTGGTGGAGATTACATTTTGGGAGGAACTACTGAAGAGGCCAGGAATTAATTAGTAGTGAACCAAGTGATTCTAATGTCTTGAAGCTGTCCATTGCCTGGTGAAAATATTATTTGTCACGTAATAGCTCTCTAAAAAGACTCTGCCTTTTCATCTGTCTGGCTGACCTAAGATGTTCTAAGTTGGAAATTGATTTATGGAGCTTTTCTACACCCTTTAAGTTTCACACTGGTGGTTAGAGACTACCAACCAGAATATATTCTGAGACTAAATCTAGGTATGAGATAAAAACAAAAGGGTATTCTATGCTCTATAGTGAACTGTCCTTTAAATAAGTTTATAGACGTGCTTGCCGAGCCGGTGGGTTTGGGTGCAAATGTTTTGTCACCCTGCTAGGTAATGTTGTCAGTGTACCTCCAGTGAAGTGCATAAATCTTCTCCAACTTTGTCCTCTAAATAAACCCCAATACCCTAATTAGTTAAACCTGAATTCCACAGTAGTAGTATTAATAGATTGGTGCACAAAAAATGCCAGGCTCTCTCTTTTGCTTGTATATTGTGTTAAATGTGCCCACATGTACACTACTGCACTCTTCTAGATTAAGCTTTAATTGAAATTCTCATCCGTGTTTAAAAATCCCTCCATGGTCTCATCCTTCCCTATCCTGTAGCCTCCTCAGCTAATGTGCTGTCCAGAATATATGTGCTGCTCCAAATCTGACTGTGTGTATTAACCTTTTAAACTCGCCACCATTAGTGACCACACTTTTATAGATGTTGAGTCTCTAAGCTCTGGCATTCATTCCCGGAACCTCTTTCTTCCTTTACAGCCCTCTTTAAAATTAACTTTGACAAAGCTTTTGTGCATTTGCTCTAATAGCTTATGTGGCTTAGGGTCGTAGTGAGTTTAACAATGCTCTTGGTCAAATTAAAACAATTTAGGCAGAATATAAGTGTAAAATATCATTCAGAGTTCCAAGCCCTAGCTATCAAAATCTGGGGAGAAAAAAAAAAACTCTTCCCATTTCAGACCAATAAATTTCAAACAATTTGGAAGGGAATCAAGAAACATCATGAAAAGCAGCTTTTTTGGGGGCTTGTGAAAAATTTACTAGTATTAGCTTTTAATGTAAAGAATTCATAGACTGATCTAAAAGCACAGTCCTGTTTGGTTGGTTATCAGGCACTTTACTACTCTTTTGCCACAGTTATTGGGGTGGGGTGGGGTGGGGTGGGGTGGGGGAGAAATGATCGAAGAACATAGATTCACATCCCACATTTGTATAACAAAAAGTACAAAACAATTCATTCTCCCTTTCTAAAAAGAAAATAAACAATGTTGTAGTTCTCTTTGTTTTACACTCTGTCAAGTGACTTGCCAGTCTTCTAAAATGTGTTTATTTAAAATAGTTCTGGTGAGCAACAACTTGGAACCTCACTCTTCACAAAATATGAATGAAAACCAGCTGGGGAGCAGTCATTCACTTTTGAACCTTTACTAATCTGAAGTTCACTAGAAATAAGCGGCCTAAACATTTCTGTTTTGTTTGGAAGAACTTTTGCTGAGTTGAATATCTGTAACGATGGTGGGGTATGCTTCACGTGTAGGTTGCCCCTGCACTGGTGGTGGTTCTCTTCTTTGTTGCCCACTGTTGCAGCTTTCAAATCAGCAGTTTCCATAGCAGCAGTAGCATATGACATGTGTTTAAATAGTTTAACATCTTGGGATTTGTTTATTTTAGACAGACACGATAAATGAGATGTCATTATTTGAGTTTTAGCTGTTGAAGGTGGAATCCATTCATCAGAGTCACTGTCATAAGATTTGCTAATTGGACTGTTGCTCAACAAAGAGGAGTTGAATGAAATAGAGGCATGATTGCTCCCAAATTGCCACTGAGACATTTTTTGGATTTGAATCGATTGCTGCTTAAGTTGACCATTTTGCCTTTGTCTGAAATTTGGCCCAACATAGGGTGACATTTTAAGAGGTTTAGTTTCTGTCCTTCTGAAAGATTTTAAACTATGCAATCTTGAAACAGGTGTAGATTGAGAAAATGGAACAAAGTCCTGTGAATCTGAAAAGTCATGTACAGACAAGTTCGGTGCTTCATTCTCTGGAGGATCATTATCGTTTTGGTTTTTCACAACTCTATCTAAACTACACTGTGAAATTCCACACCACTGCTCATTGAGCTTACCATACGATTTAGATAAAACGGACAGGTTTGTTTTGAGACAAGTTGATGGTTCCTCTTTATCACTTGTATCGTTGAAGAGATCACCAGAAAAATCATACTCCTGCTCAGTATAGTGAGTTAACGTATTCTGGAAGGAGGTGTTTTTATGGAGGGTAGAACCAGGCATATTTACAGGTTTAATATCATATTTACCTATGTGGTGTCCTTTAATGCACATTGAATCTTGAAACTCACAGCCAATGCTTTTCTTCATTTTTAGTGTTTGTTTTCCAGAAGGCAAGAGAGTTTGAAAATCAATATTATTCAGTAAACCAGATTCAGTTGTAATGTAAAAGGGATCTGCCAGCTTGCTAACTTCAGTAGCATTATGCTCAGACAGAAAACTTGAGTATTCACCCATTGGCTCCTCAAGGTTGTGTAGCTTTGGTTGACATGTTCGAAAACACTTGCTGCTGCAATTATGTACATTTACAGGGTTCACAAATGTACTATGAACCTGCACAACTGTGCCCTGAGCAGGAAATATATCACTGTGAATACAGCCATCAAGTGATAGCAATGGTGCTGCTCTTGCTAGAGAGTTGCCCTTTTGTATGGTATCATTTTTGAAGACATCTACAACCCTATTTAGGGGACCCTTTGGGTTCTTCGAGTCAACACAAGGGCTTTCTTCAGTTCCAGATTTCCTAGATCTTTTTAAATTACAATTAGTAGAATTTGTCCACACTTTCTTGCATCTTGGACTTTGCCCTCGAGTTCTATTCAGAAAGTTATCAGTTTTCAATTTTTTCAAACTGCAAGAATGTATGGAACCATCAACAGTAGGCACACCAGTGAGAAATGCAACTGCTTCATCACATCTCTGCTGATTAGCTTCCACGTTTGCTATAAATTCATCAAGACTTTCAGAAAACAGCAAGTCATCCCACAACATGGAGTCAATGTGATCCATGCTGTCCTCCAGTAAATTATATGATTTATCAATAGCCTGGTATTCATCACTATCATTGCTATTTGACAAAGAGTCCCCAGAGTTTTGCATGTTAAACCTTGAGTTGATGAAGTCTTTCTGTAACTCAAAGACTGAGTGACAATATTGATACATACAATCATCATTAGGCAACGGGAGACTCGCCATTGCAGTTGCACTGTCTCTATTGCTATCGCCACTATTTTGAAAAGCTGAAGTATGAAAATGTAACACGGTACTTTTATTACATTTTCTATTCTGGCTTTCTTCCTCTACATGGTAAGAGGGGCTGATGCTGTACTTTGAAAGAACACTTCTAGTCTCTGCTGTTGAAAACTCTTCAACTGTAACACAATCACCAGAGGATAAAGCAAGAGTAAAATCCTGTTGCCAAGGATTTGATAATTGGTTAGCATCATTTAACTGGGTGAAGGACTGAGTACTATCTGGCAACAAGCTTATGAAACTCTTGATCGTGGTACTCGATTGATCAACACTATTGAAAGGACTATCAGATAGCTTTGAACTGGGAGAACAATCTTGGAGATTGTCTAAATCTAAGAGCTTCTTGTAATAATTGATAACAGTACATCCATAGATTGCAGTGTTTGGCACTGCAATCTGGCAGGCTACTAGGTGATTTTCATATTTGTTCATGCTGATGGGAGCTTGTAAAGGACTTGAAGATGGTGACCGTGTGCTAGGTAGAAATTCAGATGCCTGTGAGGAAAAAAACATTAAAGTTGTGTCACAAGATGTGATTACAACTCCAAAATCTGATTAAATATATAATTATACAACCAAGTAAATGTAATAATTAGATTGCACCGTAAGTTTACAGAATATTCAAATATCATTTGTAACTATAAAATTTATATTCCAGCTCAAAACTGATTTAAGTGCAGTCATTTCTCTTATTCAAATTCTTTTCAAAACCCTCAATGTAAAACTAACCAACTACAAAGAAAAACTGAATCTGTAAAATTCACCTATGGTGCAGCTGATTTAGCTCACTAAACAGTGCCCATGTCATTATCCTAGCCAAAGTTACTTTATTGTAACATTCCTCTCAATTGCTCAGCATTTTCATAAATTCGGTGCAGATTCACCATATATGTACAAGACTGTTGGACTATTTCTTTGCTGTGGCTGAGACAGCACCATTTACAAGGGAGGCAAGTCATTGTCAATAGTCTCCTGGGCTGGATTCAATCACCTGAAGGGAGTGAGGAAGAATTTTTTCCAGATTTTGCTCCAGTTACTTAGCTTTTGGGTTTTTGATTTTGTTTTGCCTCCCTGAGTAGACTACATGAAATCTGAAGGGTTGATGTGATGCATAAAGCATTACAGCTATAGGCGAGATGACGAATCAAGTATTTTCCTATCCTATGTTCTTTGTATGCATGAGAATTTATGTAGCCTTACATTGATTGATTGTTTGATTGATTTTATACTAAGCAGCATGAATAAGTAACAAAAAAATGGAGTGATGATACTTTCAAGTACTGGTTGATGCTAAATTTATAAATTATTTTGAAGCTTCAGTATCATTGTCATATGGAACTGGGAAAAATGCTGGTCTGTATCCCCATGATCAGGGAGACTCATTCATGTATTTGGAACACAAGACTAACTGCACATCTCCAGGGGACTGATAATGACTGAAAGCAGGCAAAAATCATTGAATTAAGAAACTCCTTCCAAAGTAAGTTTTTAATATTTTAATTATTTGGGGATTTTTACCAATAGCTAAGTAAAGGCAACAAATTTTATAAAATTAGATGCAAGTCACTACAATGTTAATGTAAAAACTGCTGTTCAATGTTATAAAAGCCTTTCTTTCAAAGTTAAATGCAGGAGAACACGCAGCTTTGGTCTTGTTTATCAGTTTCCTAAAAATTGCATTCCATATTATTCTATAGGATGCACAGTTCAGTTTAATGGTAAGTTTGTACCATTTTACAGTACTTGAATGACAAGTGTAATTACTTGTAATTAAATATTAAAGTGTAGAATAGATTAACTGGTTTTAACAATGAATGCACATTTAAGCAGTAACAATTGATCCACATTTAACCCCATGTCTGTTTCATCGCAACTGTTATTAATCACCATTTAGTTTTTTGATAGAAATAATTAGTTTGTAACCAGGCATAGGGAAGTCTTTTTAGCGCTTCATTTTTACAGAAAACTATTCCTCAGAATGATGCATAAAATACCTTCACTCCGAAGATAAAGCTCCTTCCAATAAAGCAGTGTTCCACAGCTTGGATAAGCAAATCCTGAATTTGTTTTTCTTTTTGCTTTTGTAATTTCTTCTTCAAATCTTCACAGTATCTATTTGGAATGAAATATGCTACTTGATTAGGTGGAAGGAGTGTAGGTAAGGAGTATAACCTAACTATTGGCAGGATATATGTAATCTGACGGAGCTGTGTAGAAAGACATATTGAGGGATTAGGGGCTTTTACTGGAATGTCACTGTCAAAATCAGCACCACATATTCATATCTGCCCAACATGAAATTAGATGTCTCGCAGGAAACTATATATAATCAGTGAGATTATAAGTCACAAACTTCAGAGGACACTATAATCTGTAAGGATGAGGGTCACAATTATCAACACAAGACTATATCTATCAGAAAGATCAAAGGAGAGGATGTTTACTGATGATCGTGCAATGTTTATCACTATTCATGACTCCTCAGATATGCAAGCAGTCTATGTCCATTATAGAGCAACGCAACATTTGGGCTACTCAACTATTAGGCAATCCTCAACAAGAAAATATTTAATCATTGCCCCCTGACATTCGATGGCATTTTCACGGCTGAATCCCCCACTATCAATATCCTGGGGGTTACCATGGTCCAGAAAGAGAACAGGATGAACCAGCTGGAGGTCTTAGAAAATAAAAATAGATAAGTCTCCAGGACCTAATCAAGTGTATGCCAGGATATTACAGGAAGTTAGGGAGGAAATTGTGGGACCCCTAACAGAAACATTTATATCATCTATAATCATGGGTCAGGTGCTATAGGATTGGTGGGTGGCTAATATTGTGCCTTTAGTTTGAAAAGGCTAAGGAAAAGCCTGGGAACTATAGACCTGTGAGCCTGATATTGGTGATAGGTAAGTTGTTGGGGTGATTCTGAAAGATAGGATTTACATGCTTTGGAGCGGCAAGGACTGATTAAGGATAGCCAGCGTAGTTTTTGTGAGGGAAATTGTGTCTCACAAGCTTGAATGAGTTTTTTGAGGAAGTAACCAAAAAGATTGATTGAGGGCAGAGTGGTATACATTGTTTACATGGACTTCAGTAAAGCTTTTGACAATGTTCTGCATGGTAGACTGATTAGTGAAGTTAGATCACGTGGGATTCAGGGGGAACTTGTCAAGTGGATACAAAATTGGCTTGACGGTTGGAGACAGAGATTGGTGGTGGAGGGATATTTTTCAGAATGGAGGCCTGTGACAAGTGGTGTTCCACAGGGATTGGGACTGGGGTCCACATTTGTTTGTCATTTGTAGAAATGATTTGGTTCAGAATATAGGAGGCATGGTTAGTAAATTTGTGGAGGACACCAAAATTGGTGGTATAATGGATAGTGAAGAAAGTTATCTAAGATTACAAAGAGATCTTGATCAATGGACTGAGTGGTGGCAGTTGCAGTTTAATTTGGATAATGCAAGGTATTGCATTTTGGTACAATAAACAAGGGCATGAATTATACAATTAATGGTAGGGCCCTGCGTTGTATTGTAAAACAGAGAGACCTAGGGGTTCAGGTACATAATTCTTTGAAATTTGCTTCACAGGTAGATAGGATGGTTAAGAAGGCGTTTAGCACACTTGCATTCATTGCTCAGACCTTTTAGCATATGACTTGAGACGTCATGTTGAGGTTGTACAGGACATTGGTGAGGCCTCTTTTGGAATACTGTGTAGTTCCAGTCACCCCACTAAGGATATTATTAAATTGCAGAAAGTTCAGAAAAGATTTACCAAGACGTTGTCATGAATGGAGGGTTTGACTTATTAAATTTGGCTGGAAAGGCTGGGACTTCTTTCACTGGAATATAGGAGGTTGAGTGGTGACCTTATAGAAGTTTATAAAATCATAAGAGGTACAGATAAAGTGAATGGCAGGTGTCTTTGTAAAAGGAGATAAAGGGCAATTTTTTTTTTTAAAACACCGAATGGTTCAGGGTGTCAAATGAACTGCCAGAGGAAGTGGTGGATGTAGTACAGTTACAAACATTTAAAAGACATTTGCATAAGTACATGAATGGGAAAGGCTTGGAGGGATATGGGCCAAATGCAGGCAAGTGGGACTAATTTAATGTGGGAACATGGTTGGTGTGGACTAGTTTGGACCGAAAGATCTGTTTCCGTGCTGAATGACTGTATGACTCTATCTAAATGCTGCGTTTATTATAAGAGCAGGTCAAGGCTGGGAATTTTGTAGCAAGTAATTCAAAGTCCATCCACCATTATAAGGCACAGGGCAGAAGTGTGATGGAATAGTCTGCAATTGCCTGGATGAGTTCAGCTCCAACAACACTCAAATAGCTCAACATCATCCATGACAAGGCAGCCTACTTGTTTGGCATTCTATTGAATCCCAATAACATTCATTCCCTGCAAAGAAGCAGTGTTAAACATTTACAAGATGCATTGCAGCAACTCTCCAAGCCTCCTTTGATAGCATCTTCCATCCCACGATTTCTACCAGTTAGAAGGACAGGGAGGCAACTGCATGTTCCATGTCAAATCACATGCCCCACCCTGACATAGAAACAGCAACACCCAGTTCTAGATTCTTTCATAAGAGGAAACTTACTCCAAATCTAACATCAGTCAATACCTCTCAATAAAGTCACATATTACTAATCTGAAACTATTGGATACAAGTCTAACCTGTCTAACTTTCCTCATTAGACAATCTTCCCTGCACTGTCCCCATTGTATTTACATCTTTCAGTAAATAAGGCAATTCAGTTGAGGTTTCATCAACGTGTGTATAACTGAAACATAACATCCCTACTTTTGCATTCTGTTCACCTCACAATAAACAATAACATGGGGAAATATAGTGGTATTGTCACTGAACTAGTAATCCAGAGATCCTGGTAATGCTCTCTATAGCAGATGATGAAATATGAATAAAAAAAATGGAATTAAAAGATTTACATTAAAAAATCATTTGTACAGAAATTACTTAAAGTGGGTGGTCAACTGGTGAAAGTAGCGAGATCTCCAGAACCTGGCCCACTTATCAGACAAGGACAGAATGAATAGTGGTGACAACTTCTTGAATGGAAATTAATCTGAAAGAGAAAGTGATGCAGATTTGAAGAACTAATGTGGACAACACAGAAGTCAAGGTAAGTGATAGCTGGACCAGGGACCATAATTTAACACAGGACTCAATAGTGGAAGCAGCTTGCTGTAGAACTCTCAACAAATGGATCCAAAGTTTTCAATCATCCCACAAACAGTTATTTTTAAGTTTGGGAAGTCCAGCACAAATCTGAAGCATTTGCATCCATCTTCACTCAAGTGTTATGTCAACCTTTTTCCAAGATTCCCATCACAAATTAATTTAATTAAATTCTCAAGATATGGCTGATTGTACTGGATATGTCAACAGGTATGGGCCCTGACAACAGGCTCCAATACATAAAACTTGTGCTTCAAAACCAGCTGTGTGACTAGCTAAGCTAGTCTAATGTAGTGACAACACACCTTTCACACAAAGTGGAAAGTTGCTCAGGTGTGCCATGTCCACAAAAGCAGGACAAACCAATGCTGCCAACTATTGCCCTATCACCCTCTCTTAATCATTACAAAAGTAATAATAGCACTGCCAATGACATCTCCCAAGTGGTACTCAACAACAACCAATGAAAGCAAAAGTTGAATTCTGCTAGTGCCAGTTGGCTCCAGGCCTCAGACACCATCACTTTTCGTCCATGCATTGACATCAAGGTAGTCTCTGAAAATTGAAGTCATTGCAAATTGCTGAAAACGACACTAGATGGAGTGCTACCTAGCACAACTGAAGTTGTGGTTTTAGAGGTCATTCATCTTAGCTCCGGGATATCACTGCAGAAAATCTCCAGAACTGTATCCCAGGCTCAAGTATCTTCAGCTGCTTCATATGCAATAAATGAACACCATTCAGGGCAATTGACATTTGCAATCACACAGAGTGGACAATGATCATTTCCAACAAAATAAAACCTAAATATTTTCCCTTCATTGGGTATTGAATCCCAACATTTACCAATAACCTTATTGGAACAGCTGCATTAACCACATCAATTTCCAAAAAGGGAGAATCTAATCATCATCCCTTCATAATCACTAATTGCTGAATCTACTGCTAACATTAGATCCTGGAGGTCACCATTGATTCAAAACTGAACTGGACCACCTGAATAGTTTCCACCTGCTGAAACAGCATGGCTTCACATTAAGCTTGACACCATGCAGCTCAAAGCACCCACTTGCCTAGCACCCAAATCCATTCACACCCTACAATATCAACGCACTATGGTCACAGTGTGTACCATCCAAATGGTGAAGCAACTCACCAAGGCTTCTTAGACAACACCTTTGAAATCCATGACATCTATAATCTAGAATGGGGTCAACAACCTATGGTTCCAGAGCAGAATGCTGCTTTCATTTGCAGCTCCCATTTGAGGTTGTTAATTTCACCACTTTGTAATTTTGCGATAATATTTAATGATCCAGGTTTCTGCTCTGATTGGGTTATTCTGCAACTGTGCTGTAATACAGAAAAAGTGAGCAGTATTTTATAAGATATATAATTCAATTCTACTCCAGCAGCTAAAGGAATATTTTCAAACGGAACATCTCATCAACGTATTAATTATTCCAAGATCTGGTTGAACTGAAATCTAGATATTTAGCACACCTTACTCAGATCTTATAAATCTGATTATTTTTAAAAGTTTAACATTTTCAAACAAGAATGCAGATAATCTCACTGCAGTAAGTCAACAAATCTCTAGTCCTTAGTCAAAAATTACCCACCCAAAAGTGACAGATAGCATGCGTTTTTGATTCTGCAGAAATATGTTCATAAAGACGAAAACAAACTTGAGTGCATAATGTTCCTTAGATTCTCGATAAACCATGTGTTTCCTCTTAAGGTATGCTCATTCCTTTACTCGTTCTTTGATCTTGTTTTGTCCTGTGGCTCTCAAGAATTTTAGGAAATATTTTAATAAAAAGCTAAGGTAAAAAAGGGACAAGGGTAGCAGGTGGATGTAAACATCGTCATCCGTAAGTTCCCCTTCAATTTACAGACAATCTGGACTTGGAAATAAGCACCATCCATTCATTTTTGCTTTAGTCAAAATCCTGGAACTCCTTAACAATTATGAGTGAGTGCCTTTATCACACGACTGAAAGTTTATGGCAGCTGCTCACCTTCATCTTCTGAAGAGTAATAAGGAATGGGCAATATAAGCGAGCCTTGCTAGTGATATCTGCATTCGGTGAATGAACAACAACAAAAAGGGGCCACTGTGCCATGTGTACTGACTGCATGTATGGAGTCCCAAACTGATCTCAGCTATTAAATTAACTAATTACTGTATTTAGTGGGAATTTACAACAGGGAAGGAACATTATTTGAAGGGGCTTTGGTTGCTCTAAATTTATAGTTCCTCAAAGAAGAGTGAAATTAACTAAAGGAGACAGCCAAATTCAGCAGTCATTGAAGTCCTGCAGAGAGAAATCCTAGAGACAAAGGTTGTCTTACTTAGACGCACATCAAATTGCAAGAGTACAATGGAAGTCTGATGTAATGCAGACATTGAGGTCCAAGAGGTTATACCCCAATATAGCACGATGAGCAAATAATCTGTGTCCTGATTGTATTTGCTCCCTCTGTCTGTGCCTGCACATTTACTCGGGGTAAGCTGTTTAAAATCAAGTAGCTTTGCAGAATTGAACAGGAATTTAAAAAAAAAGAAAAATATTCCTTTCAGCAGCAGAATTTGATTCTGATTGTTGTGTTCAGCTGGGCTGGTAGGCTGCAGCAAATGGCAGCATGTACAGGTAGATACGATGTTAGTTTCAGGCCCCTCTGAGTGCTTTGGCTTCATGGAAGGGATTTATTTCCCATGTCTGCAGTAATGTTACTTTCCTTTGTGTTTTTGCATGGGGAGATTTTTTTGGGGGAGCTATGAGAGGTCCCCAGGCTGTAATTGAATTTGTGATAATTTGATCATATAATCATATTTCCATGCATAATCGAGACAACACAGGTGACATAACATTTCAGTGCAGTTTCCCAAAACAGGGAGAAAATTAGATATTATGGGGCTGTACAAAATCTTAAAGATCATCTTAAAGGCAAAGCAAGGCAACATCTTAAATATTGTATTTTGCAATCACTTTACTGCACTTCACTAAAATCATGGTACACCAGTGGGTGTATAATGTTTACCCAACAAAACTAATAATTGCTGGATACACTCAGGCAGTCTAGCAGAATCAGTGAAAAGAAACAGAGTTGATTTCAGATAACAAGGTGTAGAGCTGGATGAACACAGCAGGCCAAGCAGCATCAGAGGAGCAGGAAAACTGATGTTTTGGGTCTGAACCCTCCTTC